TCATGTAATTCATGGGAATTACAACTCACCTCATGATTCATTCCACATTGTTTGTGTAAATGCAGACTCTGACTAATAATGAAGCTTGTAGATAAACAGCCTGTTTGTATAAGAATCCTAGGAACTGTTTTTAGAAGATATAAACTCTGACCTTCCCAGTTCTGGGAGATTTGATGACCTTCAACCTTAGAACAAGGATGACAAAGGCTAGGATGACACACACGGGACCAACACCTGACCACTTGCAAGATCCTTATCAGATTGGACTGTGCCTGTGAGCACGTAGAGAACTTCTCAAGCCCCGCCCCCTGACCTCGTTGCTCTGATTGGCCTCTCCCTCCTTATAAAAGCCTCTTACTGCACTGAGATGTGCAGATGGATTTTGGGATGAGCTTCCCCCATCTTCTGAGGTTGACGGCACCTGAATGACCTCTTTCCTTCCTCACCACATCCTGTCTCACAGGACTGGTTTCTGGGGTGTGAGTCAGGGGAACCTTGTTTTTTCTGGACACGTTCCTGGTACATGGACTTCTGGGAATATGTGTATCATGGTCATTTTCTTACTTCTGCAGGTGACAGGTGGAAGCAGAGACCGGTCACAGAGGAAAGGAGCGAAGAACGGTGTTTCGCCTTCAGAGCAAGAAGGACAGGTAAGAAAAAGATGGATGGGAGAAGGAGGAGGAAGGGTTGGGGATGGGGTCTGATCTGAGGGAGGAATTTGGACTTTGTGGACTGAAGTGAGTTTAGCAACAAAACCATACAGCTCTTGCCAAGAGCATGGCTGAGGTTTGGGGAATGGAGCGATCATTCTATAAGTGATGTTATGAGACCTCAAGAATCCTACTTGCTGTTAGACCTGTCACTTTGCTTCCTGATTTCCTGATCAGCTATCCCAGGTATCTGTCTTTCCCTGAATATTTTGGTCTTGCCTCTATCACCAGCACTTGAGAAGAAAGACCGCTGTTAAGAAGCCCACCTGGACACAGACGTTAGCTTTGTTCCTCTGCCAGTTGTTAAGGGTAAAGCATATTGTTTCCATATTACTTACATGGGGGGGCTTGTATGGGTTTTGAGTTCCCTCTTAGATGATCATAAAGAAGGTGGTGGTGTCAGGACAAAAAGAAGAGTTGAACCAACTACAAAGCTTAATTAAGAAAAAAAGAATAAGAAAGGAAAGAAAAGAAAAGAAGAGAAAAGAAAAGAAAAGAAAAGAAAAGAAAAGAAAAGGAAAGGAAAGGAAAGGAAAGGAAAGGAAAGGAAAGGAAAGGAAAGGAAAGGAAAGGAAAGGAAAGGAAAGGAAAGGAAAGGAAAGGAAAGGAAATAGCCCGGCTGGCATGGCTCACTTTATTAGATTAAACCAAGGACCTGGAGATATCAATTCCATTCCCAGTCATGGCACATTCCCAGGTTACAGTCTTGATCCCCAGTAGGGTGCATGCAGGAGGCAACCAATCCCTGATTCTCTGTCATCATTGATCTTTCTTTCTCTCCCTCTCCCTTTCTCTCTGAAATCAGGAAAACTATATAAAAAAAGAAAGAATAGTCATGGAACAGTAAAGTAGAGCATTGAGTCAATCCTATATAATAAAAGGCTAATATGAAAATCGATAAAACGGCAGAATGACTGGACGCTATGACACGCACTGACCACCGGTGGCAGATACTCATGACAGGAGCTGTCCACCGGTGGTCAGTGTACTCCCACAGGGGGAGCGCCACTCAGCGAAAAGCCAAGCTCACAGCTGCTGAGCACAGGGGTTTGTGGTAGCATCCACGGCAGCATTAAAGCCAGCCTAAGCCGTCAGTTGGACATCCCTCAAGGGGTCCTGGACTCTGAGAGGCTGCAGGGCTGACTGAGAGACCCCCAGAGTGCATAGATTTTTGTGCACTGAGCCACTAGTAATATTATAATAACTGTGTATGGTGTCAGATGGGTATGAGATTAATTGCATGATTTCTTAGCCCATTATATAATGTCTAATCATTGGGGTGTACCCCTGAAATGAACCTAAGGTTCTATGTCAACTGTCATTAAAAGATGGTATAAAAATTCCATGGGACCATGTTACCTTCAAAGACTCATATTTTACCTTAAGTACGTTTTGTACATTTTGTTTTAGAGGAGAGATCTAAAGCTAAAAAGAAAGAAAAGTTGAGATTATTAAATTTTCAGAGTAAACCAAAGGCAAACACAAACACCACCTTAAAAACCATAAAGATAAAAGCTGTGTAAAAATGCGTTTGGAGATCTGATCCCCTGTCTTTTGATGACAGGACCGAAGAAGCGAGAGACTTTGAGAAACTGTGGCTGTTGCTCCTTGGACCACGGAGTGGTCATGGCCGAGCTCCCTTCGACGTTGCACCTCACCTCGCACCCCATCTGCCTGAGGATCCTTGGGCCCTCGGTGTATGAGGATGAGAAGCAGCGCACGTGGGTGCATCTAGTCATGGAGACAGGAGGTGTCCTGCAAGTACTGTTGCACCAAGAAGACATCCCCAGTGGGTATATGCCACTCACCACCAGCCCGCTGACCTCGAGCACCATGCCTTTGATGTGGACGATCCAACCTGGCAACCAGTACCTGGACTCCATGGGCCCGTTCTGGCGCATTGTGCGCCACGTCAAGGAGAAAGGTTTGGAGAAAATGATCCTTGATCTGAAGGAAGACTCGTAGGACACGTGATGGGGTCTATGGCACTTGTCAACCTGAGCCCCAGTCGTGCTGGCGTGCTGGTGGGATGTGTATAGTTCTGTAAACCTTTTTACTAAGCTCTGTTGTTCTTTCTGCCACCACATGTGTGCAAGGGTATATTGATGTCTCTCTCTCTCTCTCTCTCTCTCTCTCTCTCTCTCTCTCTCCCTCTCTCTCTTTCTTCTTGTTCTTATTATTCTTGTTCTAGTTGTTCTTTTTCTTCTTCTTCTTCTTCTTCTTCTTCTTCTTCTTCTTCTTCTTCTTCTTCTCTCTCTCTCTCTCTCTCTCTCTCTCTCTCTCTCTCTCTCTCTCTCTCTCTCTCTGTCTCTCTCCCTCTCTCTCAAATCTATTTTGAGCCAAGCTGGTGTTGCTCAGTGGTTGAGGGACGACCTATGAATCTGGAAGCCAAAGTTCGATTCCTGGTCCGGGCACAGACAACAATTGCCCAAGGAGCCCTAGATGGTTTGGCTCAGTGAATGGAGGGTTGGACTGTGGACTCTGGAAGGTCCCAGGTACGATTCTGATCGAGGGCACATGCTCTGGTTGTGGGCTCGATCCACATTAGGGGGCGTGCAGGAGGCACCCGATGTATGATTCTCTCTCATCATTGATGTTTCTCTCTCCCTTCCTGTATGAAATCAATCCTATATAATAAAAGCCTAATATGCTAAGTGTCCAGTCGACCGGTCATCTGTTCAACCATTCAAAGCATAATATGCAAATGATATACTAAGGTTGCTCAACTGCTCACTATGACATGCATTGACCACCAGGGACAAGACATTCAGACTGGTAGGTCAGCTTGCTGCTGGGGTCTGGCTGATCGGGACTGAGTGAGACATGCTGGACACACCCTAGACCCCTCACACCGTTCCTCCCCAGCTGGCCAACCTCCCGTGTCCCTCCGAAGACTTAATGGGGCACCGTTGGAGTTCCTTGGCCTGGCCTGTGCCCTCTCGTAATCTGGGACCCCTCGGGGGATGTCAGAGAGCCAGTTTCGGCCGATCCCCGCAGGCCAGGCCGAGGCACCACACTGGTGCACGAATTCGTGCACCGGGCCTCTAGTAAAAATATATTAAACAGAGAAAGACAAAGAAAAAGACCTTAAGCCTGAAAATATTAGCCCAGCCCCGGTAGACAAGGCTCGAAGACATCACTGGAAATAGTTTTCATTTCAATGACCAGCGTTCTCATTGTTTGATCTCCTGAGGTTCGTCAACTGATACTACCCTCTCCAAAAAAAGAATGAATATTTGGGGGATTAGGGGTGTTTTATGCTGATCATCTCTTTCCTTTGAGGAATTATGATCGATGCCAGGGCTCGTCTCCTGAAGGCTCGACCTGGCTCTGTGTATGGCTTTAGCATCTAGCTCTGGATGCATATGGGTTTTTAGTTGTGTTTAGCACTAAATAGCCCCAAACAAAGCCAAGCGATCATAAAATTCATCCAGCATCGCACCAGAGAGAGGCGGCTGGAGAGGGAGCTGGAGGGAGCCCCAGAAGTCAATTTCAGGGCATCCATGGTTGCATTAAAGAGATCACTGACTGCTGATTAAATTCTCCTCTTGCAGGAAAGTATGCAAAAATGCAAATTGAGACCTTTAAGGCTGAGGACTGGGGAGCATGAGGGATGTGTTTCTAAGGTGTGTTTCTCATATTCAAAATACTGCACTTCGGGCCTGGCCGGCGTGGTTAAGTGGTTGATCATCGACCTATCAACAGGAGGTCATGGTTTGATTCCCGGTCAAGGGCACATGCCCGGGTATGTGGGCTCAATCCCACGTAGGGGGGGTGAGGGAGGTGGCCGATCCGTGATTCTCTCTCATCATGGATGTTTCTCTCCCTCTCGCTTTTCCTTCCGCTCTGAGTCAATAAAAACATTTAAAAAATATTAAGCAAGTGTTGCATTCAGATTAAATGCACATTGTTTTAAAATAGTTCATTATTTTTTTAGTTCAACATACCAGGTGGGTAGTCATTTAAAGATGACCTAGCCCCTGAGCTGGTTTGGCTCAGTGGATAGAGCGTCGGTCTTTTTTTTTCAAATATATTTTTATTGATTTCAGAGAGGAAGGGAGAGGGAGAGAGTTAGAAACATCCTTGATGAGAGAATCATGGATCGGCTGCCTCCTGCAAGTCCCTCACTGGGGATGAAGCCCACAACCTGGGCATGTGCCCTTGACCAGGAATCGAACCCAGGACCCTTCAGTTTGCAGGCTGACACTCTATCCACTGAGCCAAACCAACCAGGGCCAATTTGACTTTTCAAAGGTCGCAAATGACTTGAAGAAGAAATAAACATCTCATTATTCATGTCACAGTAATTACATGAATTCATGTCACAGTGGGAATTACAACTCACCTCCCCATTCTTTCCACATTGTTCCTGTAAATGCAGACTCTGACTAATAATGAAGCTTGTAGGTAAACAGCATGTTTGTATAAGAATCCTAGGAACTAATTTTAGAAGATATGAACTCTGACCTTCCCAGTTCTGGGAGATTTGATGACCTTCAACCTTAGAACCAGGAGGACAAAGGCTAGGATGACGCACACTGGACCATCACCTGACCACTTGCAAGATCCTTATCAGATTGGACTGTGCCTGTGGGCATGTAGAGAACTTCTCAAGCCCAGCCCCCTGACCTCTTTGCTCTGTTTGGCCTCTCCCTCCTTATAAAAGCCTCTGCCTGCACTGAGATGTGCAGATGAGTTTTGGGACGAGCTTCCCCCATCTTCTCAGGTTGCCGGCACCTGAATAAACCTCTTTCCTTCCTCACCACCACCTGTCTCCCGGGACTGGTTTCTGGGGTGTGAGTCAGGGGAACCTTGTTTTTCTGGACACATTCCTGGTACATGGACTCCTGGGAATATGTGTATCATGGTCATGTTCTTTCTTCTGCAGGTGACAGGGGGAAGCAGAGACCGGTCACAGAGGAAAGGAGCTACGACGGTGCTTTGCCTTCAGAGCAAGAAGAACAGGTAAGAAAAAGATGGATGGGAGGAGGAGGAGGAAGGATTGGGGATGGAGTCTGATCTGAGGGAGGAATTTGGACTTTGTGGACTGAAGTGAGTTTAGCAACAAAACCATACAGCTCTTGCCAAGAGCATGGCTGAGGTTTGGGGAAGGGAGAGATCATTCTATAAGTGATGTTATGAGACCTCAGGAATCCTACTTGCTGTTTCACCTGTCACTTTGCTTCCTGTTTGCCTGATCAGCTATCCCAGGTGTCTGTCTGTCCCTGAATATTTTGGTCTTGCCTCTCTCACCAGCACTTGAGAAGCAAGACGGCTGTTAAGAAGCCCACCTGGACGCAGACATTAGCTTTGTTCCTCTGCCAGCTGTTAAAGGTAAAGCATATTATTTGCATGGGGTGGCTTGTTCTATGGTTTGTGAGTTCCCTCTGAGATGATCAGAAAGAAGGTGGTGGTGTCAGGACAAAAAGAAAAGTTGAACCAACTACAAAGTTTTAATTAAGAAAAAAAGAAAAGGAAAGGAAAGAAAAGAAAGGAAATGAAAAGAGTCCCGGCCGGCCTGTCTCAGTTGTTTAGCTTAAACCAAGGAACCAGGAGATTTGGATTCGATTCCCAGTCATGGCACATGCCCGGGTTACAGTCTTGATCCCCAGTAGGGGGCATGCAGGAGGCAACCAATCCGTGATTCTCTGTCATCATTGATCTTTCTCTTTCTCTCCCTCTCCCTTCCTCTCTGAAATCAGTAAAACTATATGAAAAAAATGAAAGAATAGTCATGGCACAGTAAAGTAGAGCATTGAGTCAATGCAATCCTATATAATAAAAGGCTAATATGCAAATCTACCAAATGGCAGAACAACTGGTTCTATGACACGCACTGACCACTGGGGGCAGATGTTCATGGCAGGAGCTGTCCACCAGTGGTCAGTGCGCTCCCACAGGGGGAGCGCTGCTCAGCCAAAAGCCAGGCTCACAGCTGCCGAGCACAGGGGGGTAGTGGGAGCCTCCACGGCAGCACTAAAGCGGGCCTAAGCCTTCAGTTTGACATCCCTCAAGGGGTCCCGGACTGGGAGAGGCTGCAGGGTTGGCTGAGGGACTCCCTTGAGTGCATAGATTTTTGTGCACTGAGCCTCTAGTAATATTATAATAACTGTGTATGGTGTCAGATGGGTATGAGATTAATTGCATGATTTCTTAGTCCATTATATAATGTCTAATCACTGGGGTGTACCCCTGAGGAGAACCTAAGGTTCTATGTTAACTGTCATTTAAAAAATGGTTTCAAAATTCCATAGGACCATGTTACATTCATAGAGTCACATTATACTTCAAGTATGTTTTGTACAGTTTGTTCTACAAGAGAGATCTAAAGCTAAAACAGAAAGAAAAGTTGAGCTTTTTAAATTTGCAAAATAAACCAAAGGCAACCACAAACACAACCGTAAAAACCGTAAAGATAAAAGCCGAGGTAAAATGCATTTGGAGACCCCATCTCCTGTTTTTCGATACCAGGAACAAAGTAGCGAGAGGCTCTGAGAAGCTGTGGCTGTTGCTCCTTGGACCACGGAGGGGTCATGGCCGAGCTCCCATCGAAGGTGCACCTCACCTCTCACCCCATCTGCCTGAGGATCCGTGGGCACTCGGTGTACCAGGATGAGAAGCAGCGCACGTGGCTGCATCTAGTCATGGAGACAGGAGGTGTCCTGCAAGTACGGTTGCGCCAGGAAGACATCCCCAGTGGGCATATCGCACTCACCACCAGCCCGCTGACCTCGAGCACCATGCCTTTTATGTGGACGATCCACCCTGGCAACCAGTACCTGGACTGCATGTGCCGGTTCTGGCGCATTGTGCACCACATCAAGGAGGATGACATGGAGGAAATGATCCTTGAGTTGATGGAAGACTCGTAGGACACGTGATGGGGTCCCTGGCTCTTGTCAACATGAGCCCCAGTCCTGCTGGCCTGCTGGTGGGATGTGTATAGTTCTGTTCACCATTTTAAT